CTCAGTTTATATAAAGGCTGTATATGTAGCAGTGGGAGATTTCTCCCTCCCTCACTAGCAGATTCTAATGGAGATGTAGGGCTGTGCCATTATTATTGCCAGTGTGACTATTTGCCTCAAGATTTAAGCCTGTAGCTCTGGAAACTGCTATAAATACATACTCTAAAAAAAATAATATTATGAATGTTTATATATCATTTCCTTTAAGCATATTTTTTATTTTTATCCTACAAGTACTAAAAAAATGACTTCCAGTTTGCCTAATTGTGGTAACTAGAAAAAGCTGTCAGAATAGGAGGCTTCTAAAATCAACAAGAAGGTCAAAATGTATGTGCCGGCAGTTCATGGCATGCTTGAAATGTTTGGCTTTAATGTTTTATAATAATTTCATATATTTAAGTGGTTTTAATGCAGTCACTAAAATGGCACCTAATTAATACATTCACGCAATGTATAAAAATGCCCTGAGTGCCATAAATCCTCCTGCTGCTGTATTTATTTATAGCAATGTACACTGCTTAATGTGTGCTGCTATTTGAAAAGCATTTTTGTAAATGTTTGCTATTTGCACTTTCTCTTTGAGGACAGCCACAATCTTGCAGCACCACTAAGTATAAGACATCAAAGGAATTAGTTTGGAATTACTTTTCCATTTACCAAAGATTTAAACTATTTTTGAAAATTATGGGTAAGATTGCTTATAGATTATCTTAGGGTCAGTTCTGTAGAAACAATCAACAATCTGAGACAGGGATTCCTAGAACAAGTGATTTATTGGGAGATGCTCCAGGGAAAGAGCTGTAAAAGAAGCCAAATAGAGGAGGGGAGAACGTCTAAGCCAGGAGGAGGTCTCCAGGGAGACTGGTTGCAGTTTGCCCCTGCTGGGAAACTCCAGAGCACAAATGGTCTCACTGAGTTGGTACCCTCTGGAGGCAAGTGGGCTGTCCTTCTGTACCTCCTTGTCCTCAGTTATTGGTTTTGGTTGGCCCTCGAAAGAGGGTGGAGGGCAGCCTCCTGGGAGAGGCAATTCCCAGTTGGCCCAGGGCAATTTCCAGAGAAAGAAGGGACATCTGTGGGCTTCATCCAAGACTCAGCATCTTGGTGATGGGAACTCCATCTAATAAAGGTGATCTGAGCATGGCACCGACAGCATCCCTTATATGGATGAATGAGGCAAAAAACCAGAAAACTATTGGATCTAGATTTCTGTTGCTTCTTGCTCCCCAGGACACATACTCACACGCCAACAGTTGTAATCAAATGAAGGTGGAAATTCAAACGATGTTCAAGTCCCTTTGATTGCAGAATGAATTTAAAAACATTAATGAGAACACAGACTTTAGTTCTATTTTTTATTTGTTGCTGTGGTGTAGTAATAAAGAATTCGTATTCATGTTACCATGAATGAGGATGGGTTCATTGACAGGGGACTTGAGATATTGTCCATGAAAACCTGAAGGTGTTTTAAACGCCAAGTACGCTCAGGCAAACCTTTATTCTGGCTTAATGCTCCTATTCGTAATGGTTTATTTGCAGAAGGCTTTGTCTATACATACGTAAGTCATTCAGACCAGACCAAAACACTTGGTGTGTTCAATGAATTCATCGAAAACTTTTTCTCTGTAATAAATTATTATGTCATATTTAAGAGCTGTAGCATATTCCTCTTCCTGGTAGAACACCTCTACCCCACTTTTCCCCCCATATGGAGCAAGTAAAGAGGATTTTCCTCTTCGAATAAGATTTTTTCTCTTTCTTATTGCTTACGAGAGTAATGATATGCTTTACAGAAACCTTGTCTGAGGACAGTGGAATTCCCATCAGTATCACTTATTTGAAAGGTGTTTTATTCTATTTTAAATTGACAAATATTTTTCAGAGGCATGGAAGACATATAAAAAATCCTTTAAATTGCACAATTAACTTTAAAGTGTAAGACCATTGATATGGTACAAATAAACAATGGCAAGTCCTCATCTTGGATCAAAGAAATATTTGTTGCTAAGAATATTCCCTCTGATTGCATCTGTATTTGATTATTCTAATTGATTAAACAGGAATCATAATATGCAAATAAACTCAGAATATAAAGAGGCATTAATTCAGTTTAGAGTTCAACCTGA